CACTACAAGAGAACGGGAGCCTGAAATCTTCTATGTGTTAACATATGCAGTTTGTTTGGCATTATTAGCCCACCCTGGAGAGGAACACAGTCGAATTTTGATAATTAATGAAAGCACTGGAAGTGATGCCATTTAGATCTCCCAAATAAGCAAGCCTGTATGTGCAGTGGCTTAATAGCCTGTCTGTAGTATTGATCAGAGAGGCTGAAAGATTTTTCATTTTCATATCTGGATAGTGAAGCTCTGAATTTCGGATGGCACGATAATTCCAACTGTAAGGGTGAAATATGCGCTAAATCCCGCCATCTTCCGTGATAAACATACCTCCGAAATCTTGAACAAAGCTGGCTGGAAGTTTTTCTTTTTTTTTTTTTAAATTATAATAATGGATCGATTAAGGTTCGTCAAACGAGCCCGAATTGTGGCATCGTCCAACAGTCGACGAATTATCAAAAATGCGGGGCATTATCGAACGGGTATACGCTGTAATAGCTGAGAACATCAGAGATTCGTTCCTGGAAAATGCGGACATTGAAGTGTATGCCAAAAACTATGCAAAACTGGACAAAAAGCACATCCGACAGATATCATCTATAATTGGTACTTTCTTCTTTTTATTGATATAGTGGACATAAGGCAGTAAAAAGTAGGGCTGATCCAGTGTTGATCATCGGGGATTTGCTTCGATTAGCGGGATTCTGCGATTCGTTCATTCGTTTCGATGGCAAATTGGTGCTGGTGCATGCTGGGGGATCGAAACTGCCATAGGCCTGGCACTTAAGCAACTCTTTAAGGGGAAAGATTTCAAAAACGTTGTCAACGGATTGTAGCTTTTGACGTATGCTAGCATTCTGACTGTTTCTGAGTCCGTCTTTCAATAGATAGTAGATTCATTGGAGTTTTGGCTTAAGAGCTCCCTGGCAGGTTTTCGTTTTTCTCTGGATATTTTGTTGTCCACTGTGAGGGTCATTCCATCTTAATTGTTCTTTTTTTTTACGTTTTTCAACACTATGAGTAGCATTCAATAGCCCACCTTTCCAACTCGTATTTGTTACCTGTGGTAAATGATGATAGGTGGTTTATGGAGTTATAACAGTTTAGTTGGGAATTTAGCTGAATTAGCTGGCCGTTTACTTCAGAAATTACGATTCGGCTTACCAAGGGTAACAAATTGTTTGCCAGTTTAACCAGTTTTATCGGCTCCATTTGAACCGTCCAGTTATGATTCGGTCTTCTAATAGCCATTACTTATCATTTCAGTTGCTAGCAAGATTTTTTTTTTCTTTTCGGCAATGAAGGCTTGATTTTTTCGCATAAAGAAAGTGTCCTAGGTTCTGCTGGTAGCTGGCTAGTGATTTCATTTACAGTAATGTGCTAAATATCAAAAAAAAAAACAGTAAAGGATTAATGCACGAATTTATAACAGTTTTTTGAAGGAAAGGCCATAGCTTAAGACCTCTGTTCTTAGCATCATTGCGAAGCAAATCATGGAATTAACAACGGCGAACTTCTCAGGTAACGAGAATATCACGCCTGATAATTTGAAAAATTATTTTAAAAATTCGCATATTTTACCTTTACAGAACATCTTGCAATTACCGATTTGCTGAATAACGACAAACGCTGGTGTTTGGTTGATTTTGGTGCTGGCCGAGCAGAGTTATCCTACTGGTTAGCGAAACTGGCTCCGAGCTGTCGTTTTTTACTTATCGAACGTATGGGTTCCAGGAATAAATTCGACAACAAAGCTCAAAAAGTATGTCTTATCTCCACTACTTCCTCAGCTACTCCAATTCAGTAACATCGGGGATTCCACACCAGTAGTTTTAGTCCGTTACGGGGCAGGGAGGGGAGTGGGAGGGAGAACCAAAAAATGCAACAGAAAAAAATGCCCTTACCAATTTTATGGCTTTACGCATTAGATTTTCGCCCTTTTTATAATTTAGTCATAATAGTGACCATCAAATGACTTCCGGTTATAGGCTTGAAGGAGATTATCTCAGCAATCTGAGAATCTGGGTGAAGGCGGTGCAAATTTTGGTCATTGTTTCGGGACTCGTTGGTAAAAAGCATAGCCAAGAAGGATGACCTCAGATTAGAATTTACCTGAATTTTTTTTTTGGTGGCAAAAAGTCTGAATTGTGGGGGTCAGTGATGTGATTTTAAATGCCCCCTCAAATGTTAATAGGATAATATATGCCTAGATTTCCAAGGCAGCTTGAACGGTGAGATCTCATGTTAGTGATGTTACTCGGATGCTTTTATACCCCCGAGCTCTGCTGGGTTGTTTTTAACTCTAAACTGTATGCTTCTGGTCTTTTTTTCTTTTTTTTTTTGAAGATTCCGACCTGTATCATCACAAATAACGTGGCACAAAATAGTGTAGCGGCGTTTTAAAGTGAAACTTTATGGCGTTTAACATATATTGGTATTTTTTGCACTTCCTGATACAGCGATATTTTCAGGAATTAGACTTGGTATCGATGGAGCGTTTGCGTTGTTCAGTGGAGCATCTTGATTTATCGAAAGTTGAAATGCTTCAGGTATCGTTTAACAAGTATTACTTGCGACAGCTGTAATTCATAAGCTAGTTCTCCTGCTACATAGTACATAATTTTTCCAGTTGCTTTGGCTATTGCTACATCGTCTGATGACCAGTTTGCTTGTGCGTTGCTTTTGGATGAGGGGTAATGGAATCAGATCGAAAGAGGAAATAAAGAGTTTGAACAGAAGGAGATGTTGGGGCAGCTAGATGAACAAAAAAAGAAAGGTCATCCCCTGAACGAATTTTCAGCTCATCGATTCACCTAACCCTAGCAGTTGCATATTTTCAGTTATTTTGAAGTGCCCTTGATATGTGACGACCATCACCACCTCATCTCCTAAGTATTTTACCGACGAGTAGCTTAAAGCATTGGAACGGTGAAAGGGAGATGCTAGCAAACAGGGCCGAGCTGTCGGCTCGGATTCAGAGGTGCAAGAACCAGTCTTTCAGTGTTTTATTCACTCATTTGGATGGTAAATTGACACTGATGCTTGTCAGAGGGCGAGATTTTTTTAACCCGTTTCTTAAGCAATCCTCAGATGGAGGCGGGAGGGGAATTCGAGAGGGGCGGCGAGGGG